ATTCTTGTAAGCTCACGGATCATATCAAAATTTTCCATAGCAGATTTGTTCAGTTTAATGCAAAATTTAATGACAAAATGCTGCTCGATGGTTCACTGAATCTTGAAACGTGAGCACTAAACATACTTTTACTTCAGGTGTGATCTACACACTCCAAAGACTCGGAGACAACTGAGTTGGGTCTTGTAGCTTACATTACACCTCCCACCATCAATTCCACCTAGAGACCATCCTCCACACCTTCCCATTGGCAGGAAAAAATCAATCCTGATACTTATTGGACAAACCCTGTATATATGAACTTCTGATGCAAATTGGAAGACACATTATTTCAATTCAAAACTTTTTCCCTGAAAACAGTTAATAGATGACTGGTATGACTCCATTGCTAACAGAAAAGTATGATGTATAGGGGCAAGACACTACTAATTTGAGATGGAGAGCATATATTTTAAATTAAATAAATTAAAAATATGATTAAAAATTAAAGCCAGGCATTGTGACAATTTCAAAATAGATAATTGCTTGTTTCTAATATAGACTATTCATAACAAAACTTTCAATCTTATAATTTGAAACCATGACATATAATTAATAAGTACCACAAATTACAACACTTGGCATTTTACCATCTTTATTCAGTTGATAGTATTTGAGAAACAAAAAAATTTCAATATGTATAACTTCATTTGTCTAAATCTGAATGAGGATTACATAACAAACTTAGTTTAGATCTGTTTTGAAATGCACCACCACACTCAAATTAACTAAAAAAAACTTTTTATTCAAATTGTATAAAAAACTTTTCTTTCAGATTTTTCCCATCAAAATCAAACACAGAACAACCTTCAGATTCTAGAACAAAAACAACATTCTTCTTTTTGAATTGGTCATATATCACATTTTTTTAATGTCCTACAGAAAAATACTCCAATTCTACCAATTCAATGGTTATGTGATTCACTTCACTTGCTTGCTCCATGGCTAAATTTTCCCAATGTAGACTACTCATAATAAAAAATTTTATGATGATGTGTTATGATGTGAGTTATGATGATTCAATCCAAACCAAAGTGAGTTATGATGATTCAATCTCTTGTTGGGATTAAATCAACTTAACTCACTTTTGTCCCTCTTGCTTCACTCCTTTTACTTAACCTCCTGCAAGATGGGAAGCTCAACCCTCCCACTCCCACCTGCTTTGCTTCCCTCTTAGCCCAACTGCTTACCTGCAAATTGTGTAAGGGATTGCTTTTTTCAAGCCAACCCCTTACACAATTTGCTATCATCTCAGGCCACCCCCTCCTTTGCTTCATTTAACTCCCACTCATTTTGCTTACTTGTTCAAATTCAAATATTTTATGATTACTTGTCAATTCTTCGTGCTGCCATTTCTATTTTATTTTATTTTGCATTATCTAATGTAGTATTATATATTCTTTTATTTAATGAAATACATATTTATGTAATTAAGGAGTTAATTGTTATAATAATCACAAAATTTAATTAATCAATTCTACATGCATAAAACAATATTTTAAGTTAAAATGAAGATTTAATATGGTTAGATAATGATAAAAAAAAATGTCTCATTAATAAGAAACTGAGCAGATTATTTGCAAAATAAATTATCGGTAAATATTATAAAATGAATAACTATCATATAAAATATTTGATTAATTGATTATAAAAAATATTTCAGTGAAAATTTCTTTCTAAAATGCAAGAAAGAAAGAAAAGAAAAGAAAAAAAAAAGAGATAAATATTACTATATAATACACACAATTTCTGTTAACTTTTGTTTTAACCTAACCTCTTTTATTAACTTGCACAATAATAAGGAAATTATGTTGCATGAAATCAGGTTTTGGTTAATACATTATTCAAGATAATAATTCCAAGTCTCATTAATTTATGTTTGACTAATTGTCAAGAATAGTCCAAACAATGAATTCTCATATACAGATTATTTCGTATAATTTGTAACATTTAATTAAACTTANAGAAATAAGTTGTTTAATGTACAGTACTTTTAATTCATATAGTTTAATTAATGTATTATTATAATTATTTTAAATTACTAATATTATATTAAAAGTTTGAGAAATATAGTAGTAATTGCTTATCTACAATTACTGTTTAATAAAACAATTTTTATATAAATTAAATTTACTGAATTGCATTTTATTATAAAACAATATTTCTATTTTATTTTATTTTGCATTATCTAATGTAGTATTATATATTCTTTTATTTAATGAAATACATATTTATGTAATTAAGGAGTTAATTGTTATAATAATCACAAAATTTAATTAATCAATTCTACATGCATAAAACAATATTTTAAGTTAAAATGAAGATTTAATATGGTTAGATAATGATAAAAAAAAATGTCTCATTAATAAGAAACTGAGCAGATTATTTGCAAAATAAATTATCGGTAAATATTATAAAATGAATAACTATCATATAAAATATTTGATTAATTGATTATAAAAAATATTTCAGTGAAAATTTCTTTCTAAAATGCAAGAAAGAAAGAAAAGAAAAGAAAAAAAAAAGAGATAAATATTACTATATAATACACACAATTTCTGTTAACTTTTGTTTTAACCTAACCTCTTTTATTAACTTGCACAATAATAAGGAAATTATGTTGCATGAAATCAGGTTTTGGTTAATACATTATTCAAGATAATAATTCCAAGTCTCATTAATTTATGTTTGACTAATTGTCAAGAATAGTCCAAACAATGAATTCTCATATACAGATTATTTCGTATAATTTGTAACATTTAATTAAACTTAATTATAATTATTAAAATATTTGAAGACAAAATACTTTTTTAGCATATAATACTAAAGCTAACTATGGTTATTAGTCAATATATTGAAAATTTATCCATATAAGCAGTATTAATATTTTTAAAAAGTTGTTAATTAGGAAATTTTAAACTTGAAGGTTTAAAACATTTTACTGCGATCTTCTGGAAATCAAATACTTTTTAAGTCATATAATCTAATGTTTGAAATAACAGTAGGTATTCTTACATATTAAAATATTACATAAATAATATAAAAAAATTTTGAAATTTTAAGTTTATAAATTTCAGAAACTGTTCAAATATTTCATTAAATTTTTAAAAATGTACTTTTTATAACTATTATAAAATAATTATTAAAGTGATTTAAAGTTTTTAAAAATCAATGGTAATAGAAGAGAGAAACTTAGTTTTAAATAATTTGAATCAATAGGAGTTTAAAAATTCAAAACATTTTACATAAAATGCATTCCAAATTATTTTTTTAAATCATTTATAATTTCTTAACAAATATACAATAACATCTTTTACTTTGACTGAATTGATGATGAAAAAAGATTTTGATAAGTTTTTTTTAAAAGTTAATTTACAGTAACAAGCTGTTTGTTGTGCCTGTCTTTCTGATTATCAATGTATTTTAAAATCATAAAATGCAATCAAAATTACTTCTAAAGCAAAATATTAAAAAAAAAATGTTCAACAAATACATTTGTAAGATAAAAAAATTACATATAAAAATTCAAACAACTCAATTCAGTTATAACAAATTAAAAAGTTAAATGTGATAGCTAATAAAAAAAAAGTTATTTCTAAATTAAATACAAAAATTATAAAAATGTATTTTCTAACACAATCTTATAATTTTTGTTTTAAACAAAAATCAAGAGATTCAAAGATAAAATTCCTGAATGAAAGTTATAACTAATTAATAAAGTAAACCAGTAATTGTTAGAAAAGAAAGAATTTAACAACTATAATTCACAAATTTATCAATTAAATGTCTCAATAAAAATCCAATAATTAAATTATATTGTTAAATCCACTATATTTAATTAAATGTTCATGACTTGGATTATAATAACATCAGTTTTGCACAAAAATCATTAGAACCACCCTAACAAAGTAATTTCACACCTGTATGTTTCTAATAGAAAAGGAAGTAAATTATTAACCTGTTGGAATTAGAAAATAAAATTCTACAAATATACTTACAAGAACACTAATGACAAAGTGTATATATATATATAAAAAACAATATTAGAATATAAAATAATAATAGAATTTTAACACATAGTTGAAATTGCAAAAAGATAACATTAACCTTGATATATAAACAACAATAAATATGCATAAGCTATTCAAGTACTTGTTCCAAACTGTCTTAATGAAGACTGATTAACAGTTTAAAAATATTTAAAAACAGAATTCAATATAGATACTTAATATGAATCAGAGATCAATGCTCCTGTACACAATGCAATGCATCCTAATTTACACAATAGAATCAATAGAATATTTTTTAATGCTACATTATAATAAAATGAAGCATATTTACTTCTATATATCTTATAACTTTCAATACAGTTTTATGAAGAGATATATTTATCATCTTAATAATATATTTTAAATCTTAGCCTAGTATTTTCTCTAAATTTTTCACATAAGCATAATAATTATAAAGTAAAAGAATGGGTAATACAAATATTAATCAATGCTTTCAAGTATTTTAATGATTATGATGATCCAGATATTATGCTATAGAACTGAAAGCTGTTTTATTGGACAGTGTGACTATGAATATATAATCAGTTAATCCCAAGAATATTCATAAGAAATATTTATTGTTAAAGTTGAATAAAGTTCCATTATGGTAATTTAAGCCAATGTAAAGAGTGTATAAATGGCATTTATAAGCTGATATGCTGAAATATATGATATTAAAAAGGCATTTTGGCATAAAAGGTCTTTTAACAGCAAGCACAAGGTTATGGTGAGAACAACACATAGGGATGTTATTAATTAATATCAATTTTGAAAAAAATTCTTTAGAATAAACTGATATATATATATAATATCTTATACTATATTTATTTAATTTTATATTAATTACATTTAATTTCGTCATATGAATGGTAAAATTAAAAGTATAGTCAACATTTGTGGAACTCGATTTACCTTTTTTTTTTATTATTATTTTTCTTGTATAATTTTTATTTAAGTTTCTCTAGTTTGATCGAAATAATTTAAATGTGACTGATAACGTAATCGTCTCCTGTTATTAAAACGGTGTGACTTACCAATGAGAAAAAGAGTTAAATCTGTGACGATCACGACAAGACTGATCAAAAAACCAAGATGGCTGACATCAACCTTTGGTCACGTGACCTGCCTGGTCACCAGGTCACGTGACTCGCGGAGCCTCGGAGAAGTGAAATCAGCTGTTATAAACGGCGATGAAAATTTTCTTCTGTGTTGTAAAAAATTTTTTTAAATCACGAGATTAACGTGTTAAATTAAAAATTGCTATATTTTACTTTCGAATAAAATTAATAAAGTCGTAACAAAGTTGTTATATATTTAGCGTCGCTAATTTATTTATTTATTTATTTATTTTTATTTCTATTTATGTTTAATAGTATTGCGTATCACGTTTAGTCTTTTGAATTTTAAAGAAAACTTTTTGTTTTTAAATTTACTTTATAATTTTGTGGTTATGTATTATGTAAAATTTATATAATTATAATTTTATCTCGACTTCTTACGTTTGTTGATATAATTATATTGAAAAATATTTTTAACAGAAATTTTAATATGATGGAAGATTGGCAACACTATACCATATTGTGTTCTAGTGTTGCGCAAAATGATTCGTGTTTCGGATCAACCCAGTAAAGTGAACGATTCACTGTTTTGAAACGTGATTCATTGACGAAATCACATACACGCTGAATTGAAACTCATTACACTTATCGATTGCGTGTAATGCACGACACATTCGATTCATCGAAACTCACAAGTTCAGTTCCTTCTGCTCTTTTTAGATTAATAACTCAGGCTAAATGAAAATTCACGAATACTCGCGGATGTGTAAATGAACAATTTAAATATTAAAAATATAACAATGGTTAATATAATTCGTGAGCAAAATCCTAATTATCAGCATTTCTTACAGTAAGAATTAACAGTTCACAGGAACTTGCTTTCAAGCTTATTAATTCGAAGTTTCAATCCCTACAAAGCACTAAAAATTCGAAATAGCGACACACTAAATTGAGTCAATGTTTCAAAACAGTTGAATACTGAGATTCAACTTACCGAAATACCGTTAAATACAAATAATAATCTTATAATATTGATATAATTAGATGGGTTGATAATAATAATATTAATAAGCGCAGAGCCCAAACGGTTAGGAGTTGAAGGTTGAAATTTGGTACACAGTTAGATAGGTATGCCATGATAATGCACACTAAAAAGGTATTTTTCGAATGCCTTCCTCCGGGGAAGAGGGAGAGAGTTAAGTATTACCCTGAAGAACTCGGCTTCTACTGTACTATTTTAGATGCGGTTTTTTGCGTTTTTGCAGGAAATCGAACATATTTTTAAACCCATCTAAAAATTCTCTAATTAACCTTGGAAGAGGGGAGCCTAAGGGTGCGACTATGCAGACGTGAGCGAGCGAATTTTCCGAGAGAGCGAGAATATGTAGCGAGAAGAGGTGATGACGTTTCTCGCTCTTTATGTTTCTCGCTCTCGTTTATACGATCACACAGACACGAACGAACGAGAGAAAGTGGAGTCGAGTTGATGAGTTACGTGTTCCCTGAGGAATAAAAGAAAATGGTTCGACATCGACGCTTATTACTAGCAAAGAAAAAGTTGTTATTAGGATTACTTCATGAAGAAGTAAAAATAAAACGAAGATACGGTGTCCATCTCCTCTGGAAACAGCGAAAGGCTAAAGGACATTATCATAATTTGGTAAGAAAACAGAATTTGTATAACTTCATGTTTGTTTATAGTTTTGAAAAATATTAAAACAAAAATCGTTTTATATATAGATGAAAGACAAGAAGAATGATTATTCTTCATTTTTTTAGAAATTATTTAAGAATGGCTCCGTCACTGTTTGATAAATTATTAACGCCGATAGCTGATCCATTACAAAAATACAGCAATAATGAGTCTATTTCTCCTGGTGAACGTTTAGCTATTACATTAAGGTAAAATTCGAATATAATAATTCAGATAAAAATTTAGAATTTGATAGTTTATCAACTAATTAAATGCTTTTTTAGATTTTTGGCAACTGGAGACTCTTACAAGTCTTTAGCCTATGCATTTTATGTAGGATTCTCCACAATCCAAAAAATAATATCAGAAACTTGCCAAGTTATTTGGGACACACTTAAAGAAAAATACATTCCGGTGAGTACAGTATTCACAAGCGACTAGAGCTTGAGATCCTGTCGCGCTCCTATTGGTCACATTCATTATGCCGACACACATGTAGTTTACTAGTAGTTTCATATTTATAAATTATAAGTTTAACATTCATTTTTATTCTTTCTTGTTTTAAAAATTATAAAATTAATATTTATAAATATGAAAATGAAAAAATATATATAAATAAAAAACGTGATGTTATAAAAAATTATTATAAAAAATCATGATTTTATATTTTTAAGAAAGTTTCTAATGTGCTTAATGTGAATTTAATAGGAAAAATAATGATTTTTGATGATTTCATGAATTTGAAAGGTTTTAATGTGTGTTACAATCCTTACAAACATAGCTTACATGTAAAATTTGTAGTATCAATTGTTACTGAGACACAAAACATATGATGTCAAGAATCACACTGCACGCATTGTATCCACGAGACTGTCTGTTTCTTGTTGGTCATCAGATTTGTTACACGTACTACAGTGTTGTTGTAATTCTCTTAGTTACCTTCGAATTCTTTTTATTTCAGTTGGGAAAATGTGTAAACGTCTTTGTTTTTGCCTGGTTTTTCGGTCCAATCGTATTTGATGCTGAAAATTTTCATTAGAGGTTTACAAAATTATGCTCTCATTGCAGTTTTGAATTTCTTTAAGTAAATTTTGTGTTGTAGCAAAAACCTTTCATTTAATTAATTAACTAATGTCTGTTTCACGAACTGATCTGGCTTCCAGAACTTGTTTGAAAATTTCTTTTTGCATTTCTGTTTCGGTACTTGAAGTTTGCATTGCATCATCATTCAGCTCCAATCTCTCACTTCCAATTTCAGTTGTTGACTGTCCGCATTCAAGTGATACTATTACTTTGTCATTACTGCCTTCAAAGTTATAGTCACCACTATTTTCTCCAGTACTTATTTCCATTGTACTGTATTCAATTTTCAAGTAATGTGTATGTTTATAAATTGTTTTTACATACAACAAATCACTACAAGACCAGCTAAAATCATGTATACAAACTTTGCATAAACACATCTTAGTTGACAGTCTAATCTTGGACAGGTCTTTCTAACAATTTATAATTTATAAATATGAAACTACTAGTAAACACATGTGTGTCAGCATAATGAATGTGACCAATAGGAGCGCGACAGGATCTCAGGCTCTAGTCGCTTGTCCGTAAATCGAGAAGCTCATCCACTTACAAATATTACCGTGAAAAACGCCGAAATCATTGGGTACCCGACTTTTCTCTCATCTTTATTTTTCATTTTCTTTCTTGCCTTAAATCTATATTTCATCTTTAGTAGATAATAATTAGCCGTAATTTTAGCCGTAGTATATAATTTGTATTTTCTAGATTAGTAATTTAAGTAAGGAAGAATTGTCGCGATATATAACTAATGCAAAATGTTAGTTACTAAAATAGTTAAGAGATAGAGATTGTAGCTGGCATCTGATTAATATTTCCTGTATTCGGTACGCGAATTAAAGACTTATATTATAAAAGTTGAGTTTCTTTGTCCACAGTATTCGCGCACTTCACACATCATTTACCAGTGGCGTGCCGTGACATTTGATGATAGAGAAGCTGTGTTTCTATAAGAAGCCGACATCCAGGGGCAATTAGTCAATCGCGCGTCAGTGATAATCTAGAGCAGCGTTTCTCAAAGTGGGCGATAACGCCCCTTGTGGGCGCTGGAGGCTTTCAGGGGGCAGTAGAAGGCTCAAAGAGAATTGGGGGGGCGTTAAGGAAATATAGAGGGGCGACGGCAGACAAATTCTATATATAAAAATTCGACGGAATATATATAAAATGTTGACATTTTATATATTTTTTTATTTTTTATTGAAGGTCACAACTTGAATATTTCTAACACATTGACTTTTATTTAGCTCAGCGTTTCTCAAAGTAAGCAATAACGCCCCCTTCTGGCGCGATGAATAGATCTATGATAGAGGCAGGGTATTGAACGGTGACCAAAGGCAAAATTGGGGCTGATAAGAGGAAACATTGCGTTTAATGGTTTCCAGATGATGAGAACAATGTACAGTAAGGGCACAAAGTGTGAGATTCATAGAAAAGTTTTCCTAAGAATATTTCCAATCCTTTTCTCACACAAGAGAAAATGGGTTAGGGGGCGTTGGGTATAACTTTATGGAACAAAGGGGGCGGTGGATCGAAAAAGTTTGAGAATCACT